GGGCGCCCGCCAAGTCAGCCTCGAGCCTTGGGAGGACGGCTTCGCCGCCGCAGAGGGGCAGGCGGCACCTCGCCAGGCGGCCGGGGCCGCGCCGCCCGCCGCCGCGCCTGCGGCGAGGGCTGGTGTGGCGGGGCAGGAGCGAAGCTTGGGGCAGCCGCGTCCCGAGCAATGGGACGACGCTGTGTCTGCAGACGACGGCCTGGTGCATGCCGCCGACGCCGCTGGCGCCGCGTTGGATGGAGTGCCTGCGGCGGCGGCGGCGGCGGCTCCGGCTGGTGTGTATGCGTGGCCGCCGGGGACTGCGGCGGCGCAGGCCGGCGGCGGGGCGGCGGGAGGCAGCACGGCCGGCAACGCTGACGAGGACGTCCCGAGCTCTGAGGAGCTGAGCCAGCTGCTGACCGGCTGCGGCTTCGCGCCGCTCGCGCCGGCCGGCGGCGAGGCGGGCGCGGACGCGTCCGTGCGGCTCGCGCTCGCGTCGGTGCTGGCTCAGTACCGCCAGCGCGCGGCGCTGCTGTCGCAGCTGCTCTCCGAGCGGCGAGAGGCGCAGCGCGGCGCCGCCAGGGGCGCCGGGGACGCGGGGCGGGCGGAGCAGGAGCGGGATGCGGCGCTGCGGGAGGCGCGGATCGCAAAGGTGCGCGCGGGTCCGCATGCACACGCACGCGCGGCCGCCGCCCGTCCTCGTCGCCGGCCGCCTCCGCGCCCGGCCGCGCGCCGCGCGTGCGGGCTCCGGCGCCCCGGCGTCCCGCGCGGCTGGCGCCGGGCGCGGCCCAGCGGCGGGAGCAAGGACAGCCACGACCCGCGCGCTGCCCCCGCTTTTGACAGGCCGCGCTGCAGGAGTACTCGGCGCACGAGGGCGCGCAGATGCAGGCGCGGCACAGGGAGGCGGAGGCCAAGCTTGCGTCGGAGGTGAGGGCCGATGCGGCCGGGGCGCATTTTAATTGGCGCTGTCGTCTCGGCTGGTCGCAACCCTGTTAGTCCCGCCGCCCTAGGGCCCGGCGCCGTGCGGCCGATGCTGTGGGGTCGGCGAGGAGCGCTGCTGCCGCGCGCTGCGGCTGCCTCGGTCTCGTCCCCGCCCGCGCGGCGCAGCGGCTGACCTAGTCAGTCCGGCACTTGGTGTTTTGGTCACTAGGCATACCAGGATAGTGCCCATGCGGCCGGCTGCCTTAATCCTGAATGGATATTGGATGGCGCGCGGCGCGGGCCGCAGGTGTCGCGCCTCAAGTTTGCGCTGAAGGAAGCTGAGGCGCAGCTGTCATCGGCGCGCGCGGGCGCGGCCGGCGCGGCCGGCGCGGGCGACGCGGCGGCGGCGCAGCTGCGGGACGCGCACCGCACGGCGCAGAGGTGCGACCGCGGGCGGGGGAGCGAGCGGCGTCTCCTCATCTCCTCCTTCCCGTCCGCTGCCGTTGGTGTTGGCTTCGCTGCGAGCCCATATCCTGGCATGGAGCGCGCCCACCACCCACCCGTCCGGCCCGCGTGCGCGCTGCTCTGGCACTGCGAACCGCACCCCCCATTGATGCAAAACTCGCATGGCAAGGGCCTACGCCCTAGACCCTCCTCTGACTCTTGATTTAAAAGTTGCCGGGGCTCCTCTGGGCTGTGCAGGCACCGAGACGAGGCGGAGCGCGCCGCCTCTGAGGTGGCCCGGCAGAAGGCCCTCATTGCTGATCTGGAGCGCGCCGCCGCCGCCGCGCGCGCGGAGGCCCGGCAGAGTGGCGAGCGCGCTGCCCAGGTGCGAGCACGCATGGCAATAGCCTTTCCGCCGCCGCCGCTGCGCCGCCCGCAGCAATTCGTGCCGGGGACGCCGCGCCGCCATTCAAGGCCGGCCCTCCGCGCCCGCGCCCACCCACTCGCGCCGCGCCTCGCCACGCGAGCCGAGTGCGTCCGACCCCCCCCCCCCTCCGCCCCTGCGCCGGCGCACGCGCGGGCCGCAACTCCAGGCTGCGAAGGAGCTGGCGGCGCTGCAGAGGCAGCGGGACGAGGACGTGGCCACATTGACAGCGGAGGCGGGGCGGCTGCGGGCCAGGGTGCGCGACGCGGAGCAAGACCTCGTCGCGGCAAAGGCGGAGCTGCAGGTGCGGTCATCGGGTGGCGCGCGCGCGTGCGCGTGTGTGTATGTGTGTGTAGAGGTGTGTGTGGCGGTCGCAAACTTGGGGAACTTATGTGCGACACCGTGCGGGTGAGATGCTTCCGATCATAGGCAATGCCGCAGGCATGACATGTGGGTTGTGGGATACACCAGAGCATACACAGGCTCTCAGCCCGGCAGCGTCCCGAGGCAAAAGGGTCGGAGTGCGCGTGATGGCGGGCGCTCGCGGATGCGCGTGCGTGAGGCACGGCTGCCGCGCCCCGCCCGCCCGCAGGCGCGCGCGGAGGCGGCCGCGGCGGAGCTGTCGCGCGCCTTGGCGGGGGAGCGGGCGGCGCACCAAGAGGAGGTGTCGCGGCTGCTGTCGGAACTGCAGCGCCACAGGCAGCAGGTGGGCGGCCGGGCTCGGTGCCTGCATTTGCACTGGCGCTTATGTGCAGAAGGCGCCCCGCAGGCGAGCACAATGGGTGGAAATGAGGCGCGGTGCGGTGCGGGGATCGGGGCGCGAGCGCTCTTTCTAAGTGCGAGTGGCGGGGGTTGGTGTGGCGAAATCCAGGGGCGAGGGGCAGGGGCTGGCGCAAGGGCATGCAGTGCTTGCCGCGAGATCCGCATGAACGAATGCTCTGCAGGTGTCGGAGCTGCAGCTGGCTGAGTCAGCGGCGCGCGCCGCCGCGAAGGCCGAGGGCGCCGCCGCGGCCGCCGGCGGCCGGCAGCTTTCGCAGCAGCAGCGGCAGACGGCGGCGGACGCGGCGCGGGCGGCCGCGGAATTGGCGCGGCTGCGGGAGACCGTCAGGTGCGGCAGGTGGCTTTGGGGGAGGGGGACCGCGCCGGTGGGCCCGCCGAGCTTGCGTGCTCTCGCCTGCGCTCACGCACCTAGAGACGCGCCGGCTGCCTTGTTTTGGGATGCGCACGTAATCATCTTATATTAGTGATCATCTTGCTTACAAATTTCTCTCATCAGGCAGCTCGAAGAGGAGGGCCTCGCGCGCGCCCGCCTGCTCGACGCCGCGTCCTCCCGGCTGGCTGCCGCGGAGGCCGCCGCCGAGCGCGAGCACGGCGCCGCCGACGCGGCGCGGCGGGAGGGCGAGCAGGCGCGGGAGGCGGCGCGGGCGCAGGCGCAGCTGCTGTCGGAGGAGGCTGCGGGGCTGCGGCGGCAGGTGGGGGGGCGGGGCCGGGGTGCTTATGTTTGACCAGTCCTGCGCGTGGGGGGGGGGGCGGCGATGAGATGTGCGGCCCTTGCGATTGGGAGCGGGGTTGCTGTGGTGAGTCAGGGGTGGGTCGAGCTCTGGCGCTCGGTGGTGCGCACAAAATGATGGACCGACAGCAGCGGACGGCAACAACTGATTAATAGACGGCAGCGGACCATGGCGGCGAAGGTGGTGCGTGGGGGTGGGGCTGCACCCCAAGCTCGAGGTGCTCCCCCGTCAACGTTGTCAGCTTCACTGATACGGAAAAGGCACTCTCAGGATTGACGTGGTGGCCGATGCAACCCCCAGGTCGCGGACACGCAGCAGCAGCTGGCCAGCGCCACCTCGGAGCTGCGGCGAGTGAGGGCTGCAGCAGGGCTGGCCGCAGCGGCACCCGCGCCGCCCACGCCCGCGCCCGCGCCCGCGCCCGCGCCCGCGCCAGCGACGCCGCC